ATTTCAGATACATATAGCACAAATGATCCATATATATCCTGCTGCATTATTAATTATGCTCCATTTCTACATATAATTATCTTGCAAAGCCCAGGTCAATTATAGCTCTAATCTGTATCATCACCTTAGAACAGAGGCATACCAAACATTTAGCAGATCTTAATTGGGTCTGACATTCCTATGGTACTTTTCTGTGACTTCAGAGCAGTAGGGGGAATGGCTGTGTATAAACTGAGGAGATGGGTTATGTTCATAATTATACCTTCTCAGCTACAAGGAAATTACCTGAATGCTATTTAAAAATATAAATGAAAGAAGTCATCAATAAATCTTTCTCCTGGCTCCACTTTTTGAGTAATCATTTTAATGCTATTTATCAGCATTCAGTTTCTCCATAAAATCAATGGGGACCACTACGTACATGGTATTCACATGCCCATACAGTATCAACACTTTATATTTGACTACTTTCATTTCTACCTGTTGCACTGACTTCAGAGAAAAATGAAATTGCCAATATTCAGGACTGTTGCTGTGAACAGTATCACTATGTTATCATGAGTCCCAGCAAGAGGGTGTAAGAAGAAATCCATAATTTAGAGTCCCTGTTCAAGTCCAAATCCATCTGTCACTCGCAATAAAACCATTCATTAATTTGTATGCAATAAGAAGCAAGTATGCAAGATATTCTGGGTTCCAGCATTCAAAAGTTTTGTGCATTTCTATGACCTCTGTACATGTCAGAACCTCTTAACAGGTAATAGTACATGAAAACATTTTTCCAACAGAAAAAGGAATCAGTCATTCAGTCATTCATGATCAATATTCTATTTAGAAAAGTATAAAGGATAAAACACAAGATTTTAAAAAGATAAAATATTATAAAATAAAATTTGATAAAAATAAATAATAAAAGTTAAATAAATAACCATGTCTATATATCAAGTTAATTAATAGAAACAAATGATGTAGGAAATCAAACAAAATCTGTCCATATTCAAATAAAATGAATCATACTGTCAGCTAACCATAAGTATACATAAAATAAGTATATACGACCTGGAATTAACAAAGGGATAAAATGTAACCACGTATCTTTATACAATGAACAATGAAGTTATAAATATGTCATATTTTAGACCTCCCCTTCATCACAAGGACAAAATCTGAAAGACTAGGAGACATTCTTAACTGTTTCACCAAGTAATGCTTTTGGGAGTGCATTAAAATGTGCTAACTATTACCATTAGATTTGGGATTAGTTATCCGAATTAGATAATTTGCTGGTCTGAAATAAAGATATAGACTACTGAAGAAAATATCTCTGGAAAGAGAACAAATCGAATTGTTTCAATAGCCAAAACCTATTTTAAAAATATAAATCCACCACATTTTGGTAATGCCATATTTGTAATTCATCTTACAATAGACCATTAACTGTATAATTTGTGGAACTGATCTTCTCCAAGCTGATGCAAATTATCCACAAGAATTAAGGTTCCATATCTACATTTTTAGATTAACCATTCTAAAAATATACACAGGCAAATGCAAATATAAAATCCATTCTAATCATGCCTGCTTCACAATGAAGGACTATACCAGGGATATTTTGCACTACTGTAAAAACAGTCCATAAAAATTTAGCTTGTACTCCCCCTGAGAGGGGCAGCAGAGTTAAGAGTCCCAGATGGGCCCAAATAAAACATGCATATGAAAGTCTGCAGAAAAATAGCAGGTGATCTAAATAGTAGGCCTCCAGAATGATCACAGGGCAGTAGCCAATTTGGGGGCATTTTGAACAGTATAATCAAGTAGCAATGCTACATCATTCACACATAAAATGATCACAACTTGCTTACTGGTTAGCTTTAGAGGGTGGTTTGCAAGGCTCTTTAACCTAATTGCTACAGAGTTAATATACAAATTGTATCATAAGAGTAAAGAATGCAATCCTGCTTAACTCCTCTGTGAATAGTGATTTCTCTGTTGTAATCTCCCTGGATACAGCAATGAACATTTAATCTCAAATTTTTATAAATTTACACAGCAGCAGGAGGAAGCATCTGTCTATAATGGTATTTTAAAATTTGCATCAATCCTTTATCTAGGAACACATTCAAACACAAACCTGAAATCAATGAATACAGCAAATAATGTGAACCCACCTTTTGGTATATTTCCCTCCCCCCACCAAATGCAGTAAATGCAGGTTCAAAAGCAGGAGACAATAAGTTCTAGACCCACCTTAGCTATAAAATCCAACTGGGTGACTTTGGATTAGTCACTCTCTTTCATCCCAACTGATCTCACATGGTTGTGGGGAAAATAGGAGGAGGAAGGGGTGTTGGATATGTTGAGATAGATAGATGACAGAAAGAAAGAAAGAAAGAGGGAGGGAGGGAGGGAGGGAGGGAGGGAGGGAGGGAGGAAGGAAGGAAGGAAGGAAGGAAGGAAGGAAAGACAGATAGATAGATGGATGGATGGGTGGGTGGGTGGGTGGGTGGACAGATGGATGATGGATGGGTGGACATAGAGATTCATTCCGTTACTAAACAATTCTCATCATGAGGCTATACCTCATTATATTAAGTCTACATTTCAATTTTTTTTATTACATCCCATTGTTCTTAGCTTCAGCAAAGAAGAACTCTGCTTCCTCTTATACCTGATAGCCTGGCAAGCTGAATGTATGCAGTTCTGTTCTTCGTAAGATTTGGTTTCTAAATCCTTTTTAATCTTGGTAACATTTATCTAAGTCTACTAAAAATTCCTTTATGTCCATTTAAACTGCAATTCCCAGAAGTGGACACTGTATTCCAAGTACAAACTATCTAGCATAGATAAAAAAGTATTATTTCTCATGATCTGGATGCAGTAAAGACTGCATTAGTCTTTCTAGCTGCTCCATGACATTGCCTGTTCATGTTCATCTAGTCATCAGTCAGTCCTCCTCAATCCATGTCAGATGTATTGCCATGGATAAGCAGAATTCTCCAATTCTGTATCTTTTGATTTTTCCTAATCAGATGCATGTCATTATATTTGTTGCAAATGCATTATCATCTGATTCATATTAGTGGAACAATTAAACCACTACAATGAATAAATTCTTAGTGATTGGTATGGCTCTAGGCTAAAATTCCACATCTTCTGAGACTGAGCTATTGCATGAAATTTTGGCCATTATAAACATCTATAAATTAGTGTAATCCCCATGCTCTCTCAGATCCTGCCAATAGCCTCAAAGTCTTCCCTACTCTTAGCGGGCACATGCAGATTCTCCACAATTATTCAAACACTGAATGGTAATTTAACTGTATATATAATTGTATGTGTAGGAACATATATGTAGGCATACAGTTAGTATATGCATTCATATGCCATTCAGTGCAGAAAGTAACAGGCTTTAAGAACACATGTATTATTATATAAACCCAATTACTTCCATGATTGGGGATCCAAATGTGCTTATAACCAATTTCCTAAACAGATAATACAATATATAGTTACCATTCAAAAGAAAAAGGGTGTAAATGTGTAAGGGTTATTATATTGTATCTAACTACCGTGTTTCTCCAACAATATGCTCCCCCCC